TTTACTTACTTACGCCTGTTACTCCCAATGGAGCATAGGCCGCCGACTAGCATTCTCCAACCCACTCTGTCCTGGGACTCCTTTTCTAATTCCATCCAATTCTTGTTCATCTTTTTCATGTCTATTTCCATTTCTCGGCGTAATGTGTTCTTTTGTTCCTTTGTTTAGCCTTAAGGATTCTATGTGAGGGCTTGTCTTGTGACGCAGTTGGGTGCTTTCTTCAATGTGTGTCCTATCCACTTCCAGCGCTTCTTCCTGATTTCTTCCTCCGCTGGGATCTGGTTTGTTCTCTCCCACAGTAAGTTGTTGCTAATAGTGTCCGGCCAACGGATCTGAAGTATTTTGCGTAGACAACTGTTAATAAACACCTGTATCTTCTGGAAAATGGCTTTCGTAGTGCTCCAAGTTTCCGTCCCATTAGACAGTAGAACTGTCTTGATATTTGTATTGAAAATCCTGACCTTGGTGTTGGTTGACAGTTGCTTTGAGTTCCAGATGTTCCTCAGTTGTAAATATACTGCTCTTGCTTTGCCGATCCGCGCCTTCACATCTGCATCATATCCACCCTGTTCAGCAATGATGCTGCCCAAATATGTAAAGGTTTTTACATCATCCAAATCTTCTCCACCTGGAGTCCCTCCGGGGGCTACTGCCGGTCCCAAGCCCGAATAAAGGAGGAGGGTTGGGCATGGGGTTAGCGTCCCCATCCCGTAGAAAACTAACTCGCTAAAAAAACGCTAACCAGAAAGAATTATTATTTATTAACTTTCAATTACAAATAAATATATTGATATCAAACTGTAATGAGTAGAATGAAAAAATTTTCTAGATCAATATAAGGCGGCTTGTTTGAATATATCTGGCTTACCTGTTTTTACGATCTGGATATTTCAACAAGTTATCTGTTTTCTTGTTTGTTTTAACACATTATTGTGCCTATTATTCTCATAAACTATTCAGATGCGTTTGTGTAAAGTTTATGATATTTTACTGTAAAAAATACAGAAGAATCCAATCAGAGACATCATAGTTGCTAGCAATATGCATCGAAAAGAATATACATTATTCAGATGTTAATTCCTGAACTGCTAACATCCAGCTGACGATCATTCAATATTTATCGTCAGGATCGATCAAGAAATAAGAAACAGAAACTTGTTGAAATACTTTGTGCTGAGAATTTTGTTGCACCAAAAATATAATATTGAATAAAGCCACTAATAATAATAAGCTATAGATTTAGTTTTTGTAAGCAATGATGGATATTGGCTAAAAGTGGAATCCAGGACGCGCGTTTCGTCCTATTTGGGACTCATCAGCTGGATGTACCTGCATCTCAGAGTTGGTGTTCACTCTGAAACTCGGACCTAGTACCATTCGCTTTAAACGCCATCGCGTTATCCACTCAGCTACTGAGTCCTTATGGCCACTTGTTTGTGCAATGGGGTGAATTTAAATTCACTTGGTATTGTTTGGCTTGTATCTTCTCATTGAGGTTTAAGACTGTAACTGATCAGTCTGTTATTGGCATATGTGCATACTGTGCGTATGGATTCCGCTGCTAGCCACTATTCATCACTACATACAAAAAGCTTGTAAATTAGGGCAATATCGAGGCATACGCACAGTATGCACATATGCCTATAAGAGACTGTTCAATCGCGGTCTTAAACCTCAATGGAAAGATACAAGCCAAACAATACCAATATGGATTTAATTATATAAACCATCAAATTTGACTCGATAATTTCAGAAACTTTAATATTTCTATTCAAATGCTAAGTGTATTAAATTTCATAAATTTCTATAAAGTCATATTGAAATACAAGCAGATGGATGGTTTTTATTAAACTAATTATATTGATCTGTCTCCAAAATTACATTGATGATTATTATTCCTTCCCATTGAAACGCCTTTTAAACAAACATCACCATATTTAAATATTAAATAAATTAATTAATTAAAAAAAATTGTTATGTAAATTAGATAAAGCAGTAATTATTAATTTTATTTCAATACCACGACAGATCTATTTTAAATTATTATAATCAGAGAAGGATTATTGTGGATATTATAATGATTTGATAGTTGAAGCTAGATCACCATGGAAAACCTGGAAGCACTGGATGGCTGTTTCATCCTAGTATAGGACTCTTCAGTAGTGCGCATCCACGATCCCGCCCCCCCCAGCGAGATTCGAGCGCTTAACCATGAGCCGGCATCCAACGGTGTTAATGTCCAACTCCAACTGCCGAGGAGTCCCATACTAGGACGAAACGGCCATCCAGTGCTTCCAGATTTTCCATGGTGGTCTAGCTTCAATTGACTCATGATTCCAACTACTAAAATAAAAATAAGTGTCAAATTATTCACGTACGTGAAATTCTTTTTAACAAATTTTTAAACATTCAATTTTAAGATTGAAAAACGTGTAACTTTATCCAGAATAGAGTTGAACTTGAGAAACTTTACTAAAATGAGTAGTTTTGTTTAGAAGATCAAATTCTTAAGTGAAAAGAAGTATATAAGTATGACCGATTCGAAGTAACCATTAAAGTTCACTTACACATCTTTCTTATTTTCATGGTGATTATTCAGATGTGGCTAATATGAAATCTGAAAAAGTTCTCCAAAGCAACTATCTATAATGCTAAAACATGTTGATTGTTTGGATCTTCTCATCAATGTTTAAGACTTCACTCTATCAGTCTCTTTTAGCTTTTAGCTAATAAGTTTCGAACAAGACGGAACACGAATGCTTGATTTCATTACTAACCAACATCCACCTCTACTTACAATGCGTACAAATTTGGTTGCACTTAGAAAAGTCATGGCTTTGGCTTTATTTTCATATTCGTTTTTTAAGCCTAATGAAATTCAGAAAATATAAATATTTGAAATAGACAATCTGTTTTACTATTGAACAAGTACATCAAAATCATACACTTTCCCAGACTTATTTCCTAGTATTTTAATATTTTATCTCAATCCATATGACACAAGTATTGATTAGACATTTGATAATCTAAGTTTGATTTTCATTCAATTTCATACCAATATGTAAACAACTCTTGTGTTTGTTACTGTGTCTGTTATTTTGCAATCTGATTTTTGTTTTTATGGTTAGTTTTCATTTAAATGTAAAATAAAAACCTAATGAAAATAGTTTGACCTTCAAATATGACATCAAAACAATGTAAATTTAAAGAGGCCATTAACGTATAAAAAAAACAACAACTGTAGGTGTTACTTTCATGTCTGTTTTTCCTAAAGACATTAGTGTCACACATATGTTGTTTAGTAGATTGTAGAGACCTTGAATGAGAATTAAGTATATTTTACTAATAATTATTGCTTCAGTCAAACAAAAATTTCAAAGTACTTAATATCTCCAACTAAAACAAAATGTGCAAGACTTAATTTCATCTTTGATTTCGTCCAAACTTTGTAGACTTTTCATAAAACTTAAATCCTGTATTTATATATGTCCCATGTGTGTTTATATTATTTCAGAGATGATTTAGATTCAAAATCGAACATGTAGCAAGGATATGGTTTACCGAATTCTTAGAAGAAATAGTCATTAAAATGACTATTATTATTATTAGAGGTGAAAGAAAAACTAAACTAGAATGTATATCGAAAGATTGGAAGTCTGTCGTAGTCATCCTATACAGTAGTGAAACATCGGAATAAATTAAGAGGCTTCTAAACAATTATGATATAAGAGTGTATTTTTGGGCTTGTGACACCATAAGGTCGGCATTAGTGAAGGTTAAGGATGGATTTTAAAAGGAAGAACAATAGAATATTGTCTATGATACCAACTGTCATCATTGTAATGCAGTTTATGTGGGAGAAACTTCAAGACAATTGGTTCAAGGAACACAAACAATGTTCGAAAAATGTTCCCAAATTACCAGTTGATCTAAAGAATCTTGAGAATAAGTCGGTGATAGCGTTACATGCGTTGGAAACAGGAAGCGAAATCAATTTTGAATGGACCAATATACTTTAGAAAAGTTATGGCACACATAAAGAAAGATTGACACCAGAAGCGCTGCATATATGGGCGAATAAGGACAGCCTGAACAGAAGGATGGTATTCAACTAGCAACTACATGGCAAGTATTCGTTAACATGTAATTGAACCGTTTCACTATCTAACCTGTTTATTTCACATACATCGTTATTCTGACTGAAATTAATGTGGGTTATTTTAGCAATACAATTATGTATTCGATGATTCTCACTTTACGTACACATCGATGATTCAGAAACAATTTTTCAACCTTTAACTTGCACTTTTATTTTTCCTTCATATAAAAACAAAATTAACATCTAATACCAACTATGAAGAACTCAATCTTACACATATACACACACAATTCGTTCAATCATTTATATTCAAATCGTGAACTTTTCACATGATTCGCATTTAACCGACTAATATTTGAACGAAGAGTATTCTTTTCGATAAATTCCCTTCCGAAAAATGGCCAGGTTAAGGGCAAAGTGCATCGTTTAAAACATGTGAATTTAGGATTTAAAGCAATTAGTCCCCTTGACAAATTTCGATAGTGTGATAAGAAGACGATTATCAGAACTATGTGATTATTATTATTATTATTATTATTATTATTATTATTATTATTATTAATGGCTTTATTCAATATTATATTTTGGTACAATATAGAATTCTCAGCACAGGGTATATTAGAGCAATACATTTCAAACAGTCTTCTCAATTATAAACTTGTTAAGAACATTTATATATAAAATAAAAGGTCAACTAGACTAGAAATGGACGGTAAGAGGAGACAAGGATAATAAAGAAATAATGTGAAAACAATATGAAACCTCATCACGTGTTCCAAAGTTTGCAGCATCTGTAGGTTTTACAAGAACTTTTATTTCACCAACGCCCTGTTCTTTCCAGGCTTTATCGACATAACGGTAGGCACGGCAATGCCAATACAAGGATCCTCATCTTTTCCAGTCTTAATATCCGAACCATACTAATTGAACGAGATCAAGCTTTATTACGTCTATTTCCTAATAAAAAATTATCTGTTATTTATCCGTCAAAACTTTATCCATCCATTTTACCCGAAGGTGAAACTGTCAAAGACCAAAGTCAATTATTTTCCGATGTGCAGTCAACAACATTAAATCTTTCAAAGATAAAAGCTACCTCGTCGTTTGGAAATATGAAGAATTCCAAATCAGAACAGTTACTTGTTGTCTCAGGAGAAATTGTCCCTAACACAGAAGTCGCCATTGTTTCCAAAACCGCTTCTAAGCCATCGACTGAGAAAAGTGTGAAAGGTCTCAATAAAACTGAAGCTGTTCCATCATTATTATCTACACCTCTTTCTCCTAATACTCCTACTTCTATCATTAGTAGTAAACCATCAAATTTAGCTTTTAATTTGACAAGAAATTAAATTGCAAGCTATTCAACTGTATCATCATTAGTAAATTCTGCACCAGTTTCAAATGTCAAAGAAGATGCTCCAAACGCTACTACGTTCCAACAATCTTTCTCACTGGGGATGAACCCAATTCAATAGCCCTTATTCACTCAACCAAAGATAACCTCAGCTTTCACTGTATCTTCAACTGTCAATGAGTGGTAATCTATTCGTAAAATCTACTTTCTTTAAGCCGCAACCACCATCATCATTGCCGATCGTGAGTACATTAGTGTTGGTACTTCTATAGCTCAAACGTCTGCACCATTTAACCCAAACAATTCTAAAGTAACTAGTCCAGTTTTTTCAAAATACTGAACCTACTATCACTATGACTAATAATTCTACCATAACATCTATCACAACAATCAATGAAACAAGTTTAATCGATTCTAATCCAGTTATACCTACTATCAATTCATTGTTCAATACTTTAGTTATTCCTAAACCTATTGTCACCAATCCATCAAATGATTTCCATAATGCTTCACCATGTTGAGAAACACATGAAATTAAGAAAGAAAATCTTGTTCCAAACACCTTTTCAGTTAATTTGCCTCAAACTACTACTGTTTCTTCTAAATCACCTGGACTATTCTCACTTTTACCAACTCCAGTATGTGGTAGTTCAGGTATAATGTTTGGGTTTGGACAAAGTCATGTTATCAGTACTGCCACTACCAATACTGCGATAAGTTCTTCATTAAGTTCTCTTTTCACTGGTATACCACTAAAAACTACAAGTTCAATAATTACAAATTCAAATACTACAACAAAGTCGAATGTTACATTCAAAAGTAGACCATTATTCGGTGCTCCGAATTTGGTTACAGCCACTACTGTTGTTTCATCAACCTGCAGCACTGGTACAAATATCTTTTTGTTTGACAATCCAAATCAGTTGTCTTCTACGATTAATACAAAATCTGTAACGACCGTTTCACTTGCGAACACTGTTATTTGTCTTACTGGAACTCTTATTTCGAAAGGTGAGGCTTTCAATAAAACACCAACTAGATCCGTCTCTTCAGTTTTCGGTGGTCTTTTTGTCGAAGCGGCGACCGTCAATTCTCAAGAGATTATATCTAATTCAACTAATGGGAGGACTGACCTCTTCGGTTCACCTATGGGATCCGATATAAAACCTACAAACATTTTATTCTCTGCATCAAGCTGAAGTCTTGGTGTGAATTCAACACCTCAAAATCCTGCACAAAGTGCTTTTGGCAAACCGTTTGGTAATACAGCTTTTGCAAATCAAGCTACCTCTACTTTATTTGGTTCACCTAATTCAAGCACCCAGAATAATATTATTTCTGGAGCAAGCCCCTCATTGTCAAATCCTCAATCTGGTCTTTTCAGTAGTTCAATTTTAGGTTCGTCTTTGTTTGGCTCTCCTACAGCTGACATGTTTTGTAGTCATTTCTGGATTCGTTTAATTGATCTTAAAATCCAAACCATTGTTACTTATTTCCTGTCACCTTTTGTGGTTTCGTTCAAATCAGTGTGTTTTTAATCACAAATAAAACGTTATATTTTCAATAGATTTGAAAAATAAAAGGTGACCAAACACCTCATAACAGTCAATACAAACATAAATTGATGAGGAATTTTATCTCCCCTTTTCAGAGACAAACACTGTTTCATGGTCTCACTGGTAAAAAGTTAATCTAATCTCATCAAGGATGAAAAGTCACATTACTAAACTTAATTATCTGCAAGATGAATTATTATTATTGCTACGCTAGTTGTATAAGTTTCATTCATAGCAATTTCTCAGGTACTATGCTGTACTTAATCGTAAGACCAGTTTACCAATTATATTTTAACCAGTTAGTATTTTACTACAAGTTTTCATCCAAATCTACTTTATTCTATAATATGGTATCTAAATGTAAAAAGATAACTATAATCGTAATTCAATTTCAAGAGCTGAGAATTAAACAGTAGTATTATGACTTGCATAAAATCCATGTAATAAACTAAACTATTCTTCTGTTTATGTAAAATGCGAAGGGTGATTTATGAAATATTTGACAAGTATTATGTGAAGGCGCGGATCGGCAAAGCAAGAGCAGCATATTTACAACTGAGGAACATCTGGAACTCAAAGCAGCTGTCAACCAACACCAAGGTCAGGATTTTCAACACAAATATCAAGACAGTTCTACTGTATGGGGCGGAAACCTGGAGAACTACGAAAGCCATCATCCAGAAGATACAGGTGTTTATTAACAGTTGTCTACGCAAAATACTTCGGATCCGTTGGCCGGACACTATTAGCAACAACGTACTGTGGGAGAGAACAAACCAGATCCCAGCGGAGGAAGAAATCAGGAAGAAGCGCTGGAAGTGGATAGGACACACATTGAGGAAAGCACCCAACTGCGTCACAAGACAAGCTCTCACATGGAATCCTCAAGGCTAAACAAAGGAAAAGAGGAAGATCAAAGAACACATTACGCCGAGAAATGGAAATAGACATGAAAAAGATGAACAAGAATTGGATGAAATTAGAAAAGGAGTCCCAGGACAGAGTGGGTTGGAGAATGCTGGTCGTCGGCCTATGCTCCATTGGGAGTAACAGGCGTAAGTAAGTAAGTAATTATGGTTACTATCTAATTCGAATTCAATGATTATTTTAACATGATAATGATTTACACATAAGAGCTTAGTTATATACACTTGAAAAATTGAGAGTAATTTTCAATCGACCATTAGTGTTGATTTAAGTGTAACATAAATTTAGTAAACATTAAGTTTATTTTTTGTTGTTAATATTCATTCTATAAATAAGTGTTGACCGAATTAAAACTTTAAATTTTTGACATCCTATAGTTTTAGTTTAGATCCATGTTCTTCACATGTGATTTTTTCCCTTTTTTAATAAAACAATATTTAGAGCAATAAACTCTTTACATTAGATACTATTTATTCATCCAACAAATTAGGTCATTGTGATAAAATTTAGGTTAATAATCAGGCTATAATTAAAAAAAAAAGAAGATTTAACTCTAATCGACAAGAAAATTATGTGAATGCCAATTAACCTCATTTTGGATTTAGTTTATTATTTGAGTTTATTACTAATTCTATTGTATCGAAATATGAATCGTATCATTAAGGTTATGCAATAAATGTTTCAATGAAAAATGCTTTGATGATGAGTAGAAATTTAATATAATTTTTCATTAAACATTCATCCTGTTTCGTGTTATACCTTTTGATCATAGGCAATATTGTTTAATCGTGCAACAAGACAAGACTTTGAAAGTAATATTTAGATAAAAAGCAAAACAATATAGAACAAAAATTTTTTTGATCAAGTTATGGGTATCCAGATGCTCGATAAACTTATACGTGCTTAACATAGTAACCGACACTACACAGGTATAAAGTTCTTAATAAGACAAAATGAGCGTTTTAGTTTCCATTGTTTACCTCAAATCAAATATTATTAGTATTTCTTCATATTTATATGAATTAAAACAAAATGTTACACTAGTGAATTCAAATCTATTGGAATATTGTTCAATTAGATAATTTGTGAAGATAAGTTTATTTTAGAAAAAATTGTCTCAAAATGAAATGATGCCATAATAAAAATCAAATAAAACTAGAATATTATCAAAAGGTAGTTATGTGGAAATTTTAGTAATTTTATAGTTGAATTCATTAGTCAATTGAAACAAGACCACCATGAAAAACCTGACATCACTGGACGGTTGTTTCATCTTATTATGCTTAAGCGTTCGCGCACGTGACCAATAGGTCCTAAGTTTAAAATCTCGCGAGGCGTGATCGTGAATATGCACTCCTGATGAGTTCCATATTAGGACTTAAATGTCTGTCTAGTGCTTCCAGGTTTCCCATGGTGGTCTCGTTTCAAATGATCCATGAATTCAACCATAAAACTAAAATATGTTTTGAAAGACACATTTTGTATTTACTTATCAAAAAAATGTAAACATTGATTTTACACATCATTTTTGTTTTGATAGAACAATTCTTTTTTAATCAATATATCAAAAGAGATTTATTTTAGTGAGTAAGATGGTTATAAAATGAAATTACATTAGGAAAAACATTTATGTTTGTTTGTATTTAAGGATAATTGTTTTTAATGTATATACATAAGCCTAAGAGTACAATCATAATATCAGTAAATTGGTTTAAGATTATCTAAATATTACTTTATTATGATATACATATATATACTTATAAATAGAAGTTTACTGAAATCCAGTTTTTTTTCTTCTTTAGTTGAGGTCATTTGAAAAATGTTATTAGCTAAACGTTTATCTTATCATCTTAATATTCGTTCAACTAATATAAAGAACCTGATACGATGTTATAACTTTTGAGAAGGTTCTAAAAGTTTTTATTCAGTTAGTTCATTTTACTATGGATATATTATATTTATCAATTAGGGAATTCAAAATGATATTCTACCTAATTGCTTATGTTTTATAATTCATTGATAGTTACTTACAATTAAAACACATAATGTATCCATCCAAACCCCCCCCCAAAACAAAATAATACATACTTCATAATAAAATACAATAATAAAACAAAAGAACAATAATCTTGGATTCCATTGATGACCATTATCCATTTCTGCTTATCGTAATCTTATACGCCTATCAAACACTATAAGTATAGCAAAAATTATAAAAAAACATTATTTCAAACTACTCAATGAACCAGTATATTTGTACTGAAAGGCATGTGATTATTGCTGACACCCTAACCTATTGTAAAATAAGTTATTAGACTATAAATAAAACGAAATGTATATGAGGACAACTAATTTGGATTTGTCCACTAGGTTAGTATGTTAAAAAAAAGAAAAATTCAACAACTAAACTCAGTAGACATTTGTTTAAAGGAGATTAAGTTACTAATTATTGTGTTTCTCTTCAGATTGATTCATATAATAAGATCTACTGACATTCGGTAATATTTAACGACAATTAAGAATAATTATATAAATGTATATGTACTATGAATTAATAAAAAAGATTTTTAACAAATGCTTTTGTTTGTGTTGCACTCTTTGAGCTGGATGGTTTACTTGCAAAGCAATCATTGTCATTAAAACAAACAATATAAGAGTCTACTTTAAACTTGAACTCTGGATAATTATTCTTAAATGTTTTGAAAATCAGCAGAATTATTACTTCGAAATGAGAACATATTATTGGATTGATAGATCAATAGATAGATAGGTAGACGGAAATAAATTACATATGCCTTAGTTTAATTATCGCACACCATACCAACACATGAGATAAATAGAGGTGATTACATTAATGTTTTTGGGAACACTGACGTCAGGAATGTAATCGAAAAATAAAAATATTCCGAAATGAACATTAAAAGTGGAGGATAAATACTGGACATTGCTAGACTACTGATTTTGAGTTTTGTTACATAATTTGAAAAAATACAGATTAGAATGATCTGATATATATTGACCATAATTTTTTTTCATTTTGCACAGTATATCAACCCAACTGGCAATGAATTTAAGAATTGGTCCCATAGCTTGCCAACTCATGATGTACTGATGACATTTAAGAAAATAAACACATAAAATGTTTAAACTAAATTATTTCAATATCCTCAATAAACAAGCTACAATACACACCCTATAGCTGTCATATTTTTTTTCATTTGTATCAATGATTGTTACTGAGTTGTTGAATATTCTTAAATCATTTTACGAAAAGATCGAATTTTATGTACATTTACCCCTAATATACGAATATAAAACTTTAAAAGTTGTCAACATGGCATTTTTTCCTCTTTTTAATGATTTATTCAATGACATCGATATCACTACAACACTGACATTCTGGCTTTCAATTTTACTAGATCTAGCTTACAATAAAACTGGTGGAAAAAAGTTAAATTTTATTTACATTGAACTTAAATCTTCTTAATAGCTGTTTACGCTAAAATATGCTTATGTTTTTCATGTTCTTTTATTACTTATTGTATATTTTGATAATATTATGACAACCGTTTGACATTACTTTTAGTTAAGGCTATAAATAGTTTAGAAAACGTTATTAGTCTAGTTCATCTAGTTTTAGGTGCTTTTTCACTAGTACACAAGCTAAAAATGAGACTTGTCAGGTTATTTAAGTTTCTCTTTTTTTTTAATCTCAT